CTAACATGAGAGTCTGTCTCATAATCTACAGTCATGATTATAGAATACTCCAGTTTCGAATTCATAGCGAATAACCGCTGCTTTATTTGACAACAGATTCTCTTGCGCAAAGACCTTACAAACACAAAAGAGAGCACGAGAAAATGTCGTTATTACAATAGACTTGAAAATTTGCATTTCCCCCAAGTTGAGATTATCCCTGTATTCCCATAAGACCTAAGATATGAGCAGGGTTAGCCTCAACTCGGGGAAAATGTAGAAATTTCTTAGCACTATTGTATTAACAACATTTTCTCGTGCTTTCTTTTGTGTTTGGTAAGTTCTTTGCGTAATAGAATCTGCTGTCAAGTAAAACAGCGGTTATTCACTTTGAATTTGAAACTGGAGTATTGCACCATCATCTTTTAATGTACCATCAAAGCAAGACATTGATTGAGCTTGTAATGACTCAACTGCTAAATCTCAGTTTGATGTAAAGACTTGGGTATGTACCTAATAAGGAGATGGATCTCTGACGACTTCCATTCATGGTATACAGTGCTGATGTACACATAGAGCGGATTTCACATGAGTGGGACACCGCACGGTTACCGCACAGTTACCAGACCTGGCCTTCACAATTTTGGTGAACCAATGGGGCACTAGAATTTGGTTACAGTACGATTACGGACATAGTACAATACCGTCCGTTTAACACTCAGACGAAATCCGCTCTATAAGGCTTTCCTGTACATAACATCTTTCAAGATGGCATTGGAAATTCTTTAGCTGTATTCTCTACCTCACCTGACTGAAGTGTTGCTTTAGTCATGGGAAAATGCAAAAGCATGTAAGAATACATATTATATATTAGAGGACTTGCTAATTGGTGAAATAAAGCCCTGTAGAATGAGGAAGCTATAATCCAATGGGAATAAAAATAACWTTTTTCATCATTATAATATACATTTCTTTGAAATCAACTTTGAGTTTGTTTAGTCTTGTTTCCTTGCCTGAAAAACAGATACAAACATAATATTAAGAGGATAATTAATTTTTCATCACACTTAAATAAGGTGTACCTGGCATACAGAATGAGGTTCTGAACRGCAGTGAGRGTTGATTGGTTATTCTGTCCAGTAATGAGATGTCGATCAATGACAACATGAACACAATCTGGTTCACTTGCTGCAAATCAAAACAAAGTTAATCCATCCATCCAT